AAGGCACACAGGGCTTCTCACTGGCTGAGCTGTGACCACCCCTCACTGCCTGAGTCCTTGCCAGGAGGGAACAGGGCGTCTTTCTTCTTCACACAGCTGGACTCGTCTATCCTGGTAGGACATGAGAGCCCACCGTGCTGTCACCAAACTCTATTTAACTGAGGTTTCTCTGTACTCAGAATTATTGTTATTTTTCCCACCTTGGGAGATTGGATCATTTTTGTTTCAGAAGCCAGGATACCCTACTCAGGCAATGCTGGGTTTGAGTTCAACTTCATGGTGAAATAAAAGTGAATCATGTGGATGACAAAAAATGACTTCACTTATTAGAGACACTCATTGGTAGGAAACTCCAGACCAGATCTGGATTATGCAGGTTTTTGTATTTAAGCCTGGAGATGGAGCAGAGATCAGACTGTGTCTAAACCCAGAACTGAGAGAGAAATTGTGCTGTTCCCAGCATATTCAGATATTCAGAACAAAGAGCTACATGCACATGAGACTGTGTTATCAAGACCTCTCCCCATGACTGAAGAATAAGGGATAGAGTATGTGATAATTTTCTAATATAAAGAGAATATAGAAACAAACCAAAATTCTGCTGATGGCACAAAAATATTGGAGCCCCCAACGTGGAAAACTGCTACTTTCTTACAAGGTTTAGGAACAACTCACCATGAAACCAGCCATTTCAATACTAGGTGTATCTCTAGGTGAATTTTAAGCTCACGTTCACTGAAAACACTGTGTGCAGGTGCTCGAGGGGCCTTCACACATGCTGTAAAGTGGAAACAAGGGCTAAACCCAGAGCTCAGTGCAGGGCCGTGTGCTGATGGCGTCTGAGGTACTAAGTCCTGCATTGTAGCCATTGTCATGGGATCCAAGAAAACAGAGTCACTCAGTCAACACTGGAAAATACAGGTCCTCCATGTTTCCTTAGATGCCAGCAGTTTCCTGTCCCAGGATTATGTCTTGTGTGTGTGTAAGACAATACTTGGACAGAGGAGGGTTTGGATGCAGATATGATACAAGAGTGTGGGTCTCTGCATATGTGCATGTGCACCTGTGTGTGCATGTGTGTGTGCATGTCCCTGCACACAGACGGGAGCCCTGGTTACATGTGTGATGATAGCTTTCTGGACTTCCATCATCCTTCTGAATTTAGACGATATCAGCTAATTTTATTTATCAAAATCACCCAATTCTATAAAGAAATATCTAATAGGATTATTTATTAAAATCAATGTCTTCCCCATCATCAGTGGAATCTATACCCAGGATTCTGACATTAATATTCTCAGAAGTGTGTGAACCTCGGTGCAGCCCAGCGCTTCTCAGGACAGTGCTGCAAAGTCAGGATGAAGCCTTGGATTCTGAACCCACATCCCGAGTGCTCCTGGGCTCCTGCCGGAACTTCCCTGCGGCTGAGGGCTCAGTGCCAGTTTCATCACCCACCTCCCTCCTGGTCGTGCTTTCCTACTTCTGGCAGCTAAGACCCTTGCCTGTATGGATGAGTCTAGACCAGAATCCTTCAGGTGCTACAGGTCTGTGGTCAGAGGACAGCACAGCTGGGTGGGGAGTGCTTGTGGTGCAAGAAGCAGTTTGAAATGATGAGCCTGAATCAGGATGGGAATGACCCTCAGTCTTCACACCTGGCAGTTCACACTCTGAAGTTTAACACCTGGGATTTTGCAGTTCATCCAAGAGTTCCAGTTGGACCTTCTCCCAGCTCTCATGCCACCTGGAGACATCAAACTCAGGTACGTTGAGGCTTGGTCACATTTCTCATGTCACATAACGTTTCTATCCCACTATGTGAAGATTTCAACGTGCAACACTGAGGTGAGATTTATACCACATTACACAGATTATAACTTACATAAAAATGAAATGACAAAGTATATAACAAGCATTTATTACAGCACAATCACAAGTAAAGAGATTTTCTTGAATGCAATTATTGATAGAAAGACATTAAAATATTGAGACTGTTAAAAAAAAATTCTCAAGAACACTGCTTACATACTACTGTTCAACAAAGTAACACTCAAAATCATCATGATCTCATCACCGAATGGGGTCTGGGAAACCTGACCAATCTTGTCCAAAACTCTCTTGATGCTGACTCTGCATCACTTATGCCC